TGACCCTGATGAACTGGGGGCCATGGTCTCCGGGCCATGGTGACCCTGATGAACTGGGGGCCGTGGTCTCCGGGCCATGGTCTGACCCTGATGAATTGGGGGCCGTGGTCCCCGGGACGGGGTCTAACCCTGATGAACTGGGGGCTGTGGTCTGGTGTGCCGTCTGACCCCGATGGCTTGCAGGGCATCTTGGGGTCTGGCTTTGCCCTGAAGGTTCAAGAGCAGCATCGGCAGAAGCACTTTGAGAAGAGGCGGAACCCGGCCGCAGGCCTGATCCAGGTGAGTCCCGGTGGCCCCCACTTGGAAGGCATGGAATCCCCTGGCCTGGTCCCACGGGGTCCGGGAGCAGAGCCCTGCTCAGCGTCCCCCCTGTCTGGATGGGCCACAGCCCTCATCCCGCTGCAGGAACATGTTGGGTGTGGGGAAGTTGAGTCTGTGTGCTGAGAACCAGTTTAGATGCAGAGGCCACGCAGGAGCCGCAGCACACTTGGTGGTGACCCTGGGGCCTGAGGCCAGGCTGTCAACAGGTGCCTCTGAGGTTGCCCTTTACGGCACCCTGGGAAGCAGGTACACTGTCACAGTGTCCTGCACGTGAGGGTCAGGGCTCAGAGCCTCCACTCAGGTAGGTGCCTGAGCTGTGTGTGTGCTGCCTGGCTCACCCAGCTGGTCCCCCACGCTGGGCTTCAGCATCCAGCAGTGCTTCCTGAGCCATCCTGAAAGTGGGGGCCCGAGCAGCTGGCTGCCCAAGGGGCCCAGTGTTCCCGCAGCCCCTCCCAAAGCCCCTGGGACCCACAGACCTTCAGAGTTGAATGGGATTACTGCTGGCCGGAGGATGCGGCCCTGCCTCCACGTGTCTTCGTTTTGTAAACATGTGGTCTCACCCTGGGTGTGGCCTGCATTTATGTACATATGTATTTACCTTTCACCATGAAAACTCCAAACGGCTACTGTTTTAAATGCAAAAGAGTATAACGAAGAAGAGATGTGTCCACAGTCTCACCCCACTGCTGACGATAAGTCACCGCATGTCCCTGTGGTCAGAGGTCGGATAGGTCAGGGGAGAAGCGTGGCCTGAGCCTGTGGCTCGCTCCTCCATGGAGGTCACCCTTGGCAGCGGCTTGCGCATCTCTCCAGAGAACGGTCATGCCTCTGTGTTAGTCCTTTAAACATTCGCTCCGTGGGGCTGGGCACAGCTGCCCTGCTTCTCGCTGCGAGTGTCCTGGACGCCTTTTCCCCGCTGGGACTCAGGAGCAGCTCAGGTTGAGGCTTCGAGGGTTCTCCCTGTGGAAGGACATTGGGCTTGTTCCCAGGGCTGCGGGAATCCTGGTTCGAGTGTGATGAGTGGTCCTGGGGTGATGATTTGCAGTGGGATTGCTAGTCAGAGGCTCCTGTCTTGACCTTCCTGTGGAGACGGGCGGCAAGCCCACAGTCCTGCTGCACGGGTTCGAGGGGCGGGAAGGAGAGCTGAGTAGCTGCTTTCTAAGTGGTCCATAACCGGTGTGGTTCCTGGCTCCCAGAGGGAGAGGCCAGGTGGGGAACCCCCAGAGGAGGGCCTGGATCCTCTGTGTCCTAGAAGCATCTGAAGGGTCTGTGTCTGTGTCCCTCTGGGAGCCGAGGTGCCTGGGCCAGCATCCACCTCACTGCTTTGCACACGGTCCGGCCAGAAGAGGCCCCCTGCCCAAGGGAACGGGCATCTTCACTCGGGGACCCCGAGGTGGGCTCTGGACACCAGCGAGGGGGGGCAGGGCAGCCCCGTGCCCTGTCCCCAAGGGAGGGCGTGGTGCTCTCTGTGAATCCAAGGTGGGCTGGGCTCAGACAGGGGCCTGGAGGGGGAGGGACGGGATGGACAGGACCTGAGGAGGGAGAGAAAGAGCGGGGACAAGGAGGAGACGCTCCAGGTTGTGGCTGGAGTGCTGGGGTGGGTGGCGGTGCGTCTGCGGAGATGGAGAAGCTGCCGGGGTAGGTGTATCACAAGCTCGGGTTTGGCCGTAAGGTTTTGGGAAGCCCGTCAGCCCTCAAGGGCAGGGCTGGCCAGTAATCTGGAGCTGAGGAGGGAGGTCCCAGCGGGATACAGAGATGCAGGAGAGGGTGTGGAATGCCACAGGCCTGTGTGAGGCTCCCAGGGAAGGCTGGGGCCAGGGGCTGATGCTGGGCCCCCCAACCGTGGAGGCGGGAAGGGGAGCAGTGTTTGGGACCTGGAGGTGTGGAGAGCCTGTTAGGAAGCCCCCCGAGGCTGAGATAAAGAGCCAGGGGTCCGGAGCCTTCCTCCCAGGACCCCACCTTCTGGTCAAGGGACCCAGGTTAAAGTTTAGGGAACAGGGTTGTCACTGAAAGTGTGGAGTGTGGAACTACAGAACCTCATTCCTCCAAGAAACTGTCAGAATCACCTTTTTTGGAACTCTGGAGCCTGATCAAAGTTTTACAGCAACCAGGGAGGTGCAGTGAAGAGAGCAGCTGCTGAGCTCCAGTAAGAGCGTGCGGTGTCTTAACTTCCCACCTGCCACCCCTGCTCCCGGCTCTGGGTGGCTGTGGGGTGGCAGCCAGCCTTCCCGTGTGGCTGCTGGTGTCAGAGGGGCAAACGCGCCTTGTTCCAAAGAATTACGGTTGTTTTGACCTGTGTGGTGGCTCCAGAGGGATCAGCTCAGGGGTGTGCCTTTGCTTTACCCACCTGGAAACTTTCTCGGGGCCGGAGCGGCCTCCCAGGCTGTGTCTGTCAAAGCAGTTGACGTGGGGATACTAGCTGCAGCCGCTGGGGCAGGGAGAGCAGATGGGACCAGCAACAGACGGGTCAGAAAGCCTGGGAAGGTAGAGGTTTGGGAAGGAGACATGGTGGGAATCAGGGTTTGGGAAAGAGCCCCCACATACTGGGGGACCTAGGAGGCCACACACATGCCCAGGGCTGGACGCAGGCTCAGAAGTGACTGGAGAAGACCCTGAGCCCTCACCTGAGGCTGACCTTTGGGCTCTGTGCACACAGGAAGTGAAGGCTAATGCAGAGTCGTAAGTGGCCAGGTGTTGAAGGAGTGCCCCAACACAGGGCTGGTCTGCAAAGACTGAGTATCTGTTTCCTCTTTGGTTCTTTGGGTTTAAGGAAACCTCTGTCAAATCACTAGCTGACCACTGAGCTAATGGAACAGACACTGGAGTGACCACACATGACAAAGAATACGGAATAGTTTAGAAAGTCACTCAGTAAACCACTACAGTCAGCAAGCAGCAACAACAAACCCTGGCAGGGGACAGAATCTGACTTCTGCATTGTAATATTCTAAACGACCAGTTTTCAGTGAAAAATTATGAGACAAAAGGAGAAGAGAGCAAAAAGAATATTTGGAGAAGTAAGATCAGGACGTCTGCAACATGAGGACAGACATGAATCTATACGTCCAAGTGGCGTAAACTCGGAGAGGTCCACACTAGGACACTACGCGCACCCTGTTGAAACCCGGAGACAGGGAGAGAACCTGGAAAGCAGCACAAGAGAAGCAACTCTTCACGTACAAGGATGCTCGGTAAGGACTGCCGGTTTCCCACCAGAAACTGTGGAGGCCGGAAGGCAGTGGGGCAGCACATTCAGAGTCCTGAAAGAAAAACACTGTCAACCAAGAATTCTATACCTGGCAAAACCGTCCTTCAAAAATGAAGGAGAGGGGCCGGCCTGGTGGCCTAGTGGGTAAGTGCGCGTGCTCCACTTCGGCGGCCCGGGGTTTGTGGGTTCAGATCCCAGGTGCAGACCTAGGCACCGCTTATCAAACCATGCTGTGGTGGTGTCCCACATATAAAGTAGAGGAAGATGGACACAGATGTTAGCCCAGGGCCAATCTTCCTCAGCAAAAAAATAAAATAAAATAAAATAAAAAAGAAATGAAGGAGGGGGCCGGCGCAGTGGCCTAGCGGTTAAGTTTGTGCATTCCGCTTTGGCAGCCCAGGGTTCACAGGTCGCGGGCATGGACCTACTCACTGCTAGTCAAGCTATGCTGCTGCGGCATCCCATATACAAAATAGAGGAAGACGGGCACAGATGTTAGCTCAGGGCCAATCTTCCTCAGCAAAAAGAGGAGGATTGGCAACAGATGTTAGCTCAGGGCCAATCTTCCTCAGCAAAAAGAGGAGGATTGGCAACAGATGTTAGCTCAGGGCCAATCTTCCTCAGCAAAAAGAGGAGGATTGGCAACAGATGTTAGCTCAGGGCCAATCTTCCTCAGCAAAAAGAGAGGAGAAATGGACATTCCGATGTCCACAAAAGCTGAGGGAGTTCGTTGCTAATAGATCTGCCCTGTATGAAATACTAAAAGGAGTCCTTCAGACTGAAATGAAAGGACACTAGGCAGTAACTCAAGCCGTATGAACACTGGTAAAAGTACGGAGGTAAACACAAAAGCCAATATTATTATTTGTTTGGTTTGTAATTAACCTTTTTTTCCCTATATGATTAAAAGACAAAAGCATAAAGTAATAATCACAAATCTATACTTCTGGGCACACAATGTATAAAGATGTAATTTATAACAGTAACAACATAAAGGGGGGCGGGCCGTATAGGAGTAGAGTTTTTTATACTGCTGAAGCTAAATTGGTATTCATTCAACTAGATTGTTCTAAGTTGAAGATGTTAATCATAATCCCAGGATAACCATTAAGAAAATAACTGAAAAATATTCAGAAAAGGAAAATAGAAGGGAATCAAAATTATACACTAGAAAAAATAAACTAAACACTGAAGAAAGCAATAAAGGAGGACTTAAGAAACAAAAAAGATGTAAGGCTTACAGAAAATAAAAAGCAAAATGACAGAAGCAAGTCCTTCCTCATCCATTTAAATGTAAATGGATTCAACTCTCCAATTAAAAGGCAGAGATTAGAAGAATGAATTTAAAAATTGTCCAACTCTGTGCTGTCTAAAGAGATTCATTTTGGATCCAAAGATGACAATAGGTTGAAAGTGAAAGAATGGAAAAAAATATTCTATACAAACAGTAGCCTGAAGAGAGAGGCCTACACTAATATCAGACAATAATCGACTTTAAGTCACCTTTAAAGAGACAAATAAGGATATTACTTATTGATAAAAGGGTCAGTCCATAAAGAATATGTAACAAATATAAACTTGTGTACACTAACAACAGAGCCCAAAAATATATGAAGCCAAAATTGACAGAATGAAAGGATGAAATAGACATTTTTACAATAATAGCTGCAGACTTCAACACCCCACTTTCGACAATGGATAGAAAACCCAGACAAAAGACCATAAGGGAAGGAGGACGTGAACAACACTGTGAACCAGCTAGACCTGCAGACATCCATAGAGCAGTTCACCAACAACAGCAGAATAAGCATCCTTCTCCAGGGCACATGGAATATTCTCCAGGATAGACCATATGCTGGGCCACAAAACAAGTCTCCATACCAGAGTGCCATGTACATTTAATGGGGAAGGAATGGTCTCTTCAGCAAACGGTGCTGAGACTACTGGATATCCATTTTTAAAAGAATGGGGGCCGGTCCCGTGGCACAGTGGTTAAGTGAGCGTGCTCCACTTTGGCGGCCTGGGGTTCACAGGTTTGGACCCCGGATGCAGACCGATGCACGGCTCATCAAGCCATGCTGTGGCAGTGTCCCACATATAAGGTAGAGGAAGATGGGCACGGGTGTTAGCCCAGCGCCAATCTTCCTCAGGAAAAAAGAGGAGGATTGGTGACAGATGTTAGCTCAGGGCTAATCTTCCTCACACACACACAAAAATAATAAAAAAAAATAAAAGAATGAACTTTGACCCTTACCTCACACCATATACAAAATTAACTCAAACTGGATCTAAAACCTAAATGTAAGAGCTAAAACTGTAAAACTGTTCTTTAGAAGAAAACATAGGTGTAAATCTCCATGACCTTGGTTTCTTAGATATGACACCAAAAGCATAAGCAACAAAAGAAAAAAATACTTAAATAGGGCTTTATTAAAATGGAAAACTTTTGTGCATCAAAGGACTCTATAAAGAGAGTGAAATGACAGCCCACAGAACGGGAGAAAATGTTTGAAATTGTGTATCTGATAAGGGACTTATATCTGGAATATATAAATGACTCCTACAGCTCAATAACAAAAAGACAGACAACTCAATTAAGATATGGGCAAAGAATTTGAAGAGCTATTTCTCCAAGAAAGATAACCCAGTGGCCAATAAGCATGGGAAAAGGTGCTCAACATCATTCATCGTTAGGGAAATGCAAATCAAAACTGCCGTGAGATAGCATTTCACATCTGTTGGGTTGGCTAAAATTTAAAAACAACAGGAAGGTGTTGCTAGGGATATGGAGAAATTGGAACCCTCAGACAATACTGCTGGGAGCGTGAAATGGTGCAGCCGCTCTAGAAAACAGTCTGTGGTTCCTCAAAAAGTTAAACATTCTCATATGACCCAGCAATCCCACTCCTAAGTATATACCCAAAAGAGTTGAAAACAGGTGGTCAACCAGAAACTTTGACACGGATGTTGTAGCAGTGCTGTTCACAATCGCCAGAAGGTGGAAACAACCCAAATGTCCACTGACACACAAACAGATAAACAACATGTGGTATATCCACACAATGAAACATTATGGAGCCGTTGAAAAGAATGAGTACTGATACATGTCACAACATGGATGGGCCTTGGAAACATGCTAGGTGAGAGAAGCCAGACATGAAAGACCACGTTTTGTGTGATTCCATTGATAAGAAATGTCCAGAATAGGGAAATCCACGGAGATCCTGGGGGGTTGACTGCGTAATGGATGTGGGGTTGGAAGGTGCTTCTTTTGAGGTGATGAAAATGTGAGACGGCACAGGGGTGATGGCTGCACAACAGTGTGAATGTACTCAGTGCCACTGAATTGTTCACTTTAAAATGCTTAGAAGGGTGAATTTTGTGTATTTTACTGCACACACACACACAAGTTGGGCACAGAAGCCCAGGCCAGGCCGAGGACAGTCTACACGGCAGGCCCAAGACCCTGTGTTGTGCTCAGTTTCACTCCCTCACTGGCCACCAGGCCACCATGCTGGAGAGGATGGAGGCATGTGTCCCGACCCTGCCCCCTGCCCCCCAGCTCCTGAGGTCACACGGGGCCCAGCGCAGGGTCCCCGTCAGGATTGGGGAGAGCAGGAAGGTAACCACTACGACAGGTTATAACTCCAGGCATCAGGTAAGACAGACAATGGGAGGGAGAGCCCTCGAGGCTCTGGCAGGGTGTGTGCGCCTGACCTGTGCCCCCTCCTCCAGACCCTGCCAGCTTCGGCAGTGATGGTGCATGCCCATTCTACAGAGGATAAACTGAGGCCTGTGGGGTGGGGCAAGGCCCTAGAGACGGGGGAGCGGCCCCCCCGTGGTCGCTGCACCCCATCTCCCCTCACTGTTGGTGCCTGACCCTCCCGTTCCTCCCCCCGCAGTCTGCCTGGAGGTTCTATGCCACCAACCTCTCCCGCACAGACCTGCACTCGACGTGGCAGTACTACGAGCGCACGGTCACCGTGCCCATGTACAGGTACCGCGCCCCCCAGGCTCCGCCGACACCGGTGCCTCCACTATGTTTCCATTCTCTGTTTGTTCTTAAACCCCATTTTTTGTTATTGTTTATTATTTTGATGGATTTTTCTTTCCTTTTTTTCTTTAAAATGTCTGTCCTTTTCAGGAAGGAACTGTGTGTGGTTTGTTTCCAGCGTTGATTCTGTTCTTGGTTTCATAGCTTGTAGCTTTTGTTCTCACTCCATCCCGCCCCTCCGCCGGGTTTCCGCGCGGTGGGGCGTGTGTTGTGAGCATCGTGGAGACAGGCCCCTCCCCAGAGAGTCCCTCGAGGTCAGTGCCGGGCAGCCCCAGTGGGAAAGGACACCCTCGGCCCTCCGTTCTCCAGCGAGGACCAGGTCTCTGTGTGACCCCAGAACACAGCCAGACGTTAGGACCATGAGACCCGTGTTATTCTGGGGTCCCAGATATCCCCAGCAGGCCAGAGCACAGACACCCCCAGGCGTCCTTGGATGGGAGAGAAGGGCCCAAAGCCCTCTGTGGGGGTTGGTCAGCAGAGGCACTGCCAACAGGCCTATGAGGCCATGTGATCAGCAGGCAGCTTTCCAGGTGCTGTTTTTAGAGGGGAGGTGGCTGCCCAGGGTGAGAGTGTGGCCGCCCCCAGGACTTGTCTACTCTGGGCTTTGCTTAGAACAAACTCTGAGGTGAGAGAGGCTGGGGGCCTCTTGGTGTTCATGGGCCTGATGCCCTCAGGTGGGCACCTCCCTGCTGGCCTGCCCCTGCCTTGGGGGTGAAGCTGAGCCCGGGGGCTCCCCCACCAAGGGTGCCCCTTGCCCGCCTGTGGGGGCTTCGCACCCATGGAGCTCTCACCCCAGGGTGGGCGGGGCTTCTGGGCAGGGGCAGGGTCCTTCTGAGCCTCCTGCAGTCAGTGATGGCCGGGGTCCGTTGCCACCCGCCACCTGCCTCGGTAGGGATTTGGCGCCTGGGAAGAGGGTGCCCTCCATCAGCATCCACCTCCTGCACTTTCCAGAACTCTCGGCTGCTGTGGCCGTGGCCCGTCTTCCCCCGAGGTCTGAGGCGTTTGCTCCCCCGCAGGCTCTGTGCCCCGGGCGGGCAGGGCTGACCCTCCAGCTAATTCTCTCTGTTCTGTTGTTTCCCCCACTTTCCTCAACTATTTTTTTCATTTTCTTTTTCTTATCCCGTTCTTTTTAAATTTCCGTTCTTTTCCCTTTGTGTGTGTGTGAAAACACTGGGAAGCTCGCAAACTCAAACCTACGGGGCCTCCAGGTAGGAACGCATGGCAGAAAGCGCGTGTGCTGTGGTTCCGTTCTGTCTGGGACTGTTACGGGGCCGCCCGGACCCCATGGCCGCCCCACCAAGCACTCCTGCACCGAGCCCCAGCCTGTGGCCTAGGCTGGCGGCGGGCTGCCCTGTGGCCCTGTGGCCCCCGCTGGATCCCCGTGTGCCCTCCCTGCCTCCCCTGCCCTGGCTCCCCTCTCGACTGCCCACCTCACTGCTTTCCTGTGCTGGGTCTGTCCGCCCAGGTTGCCTCCTGTTCCTTGTGTTGCTTCTACCTTGTCTCAGTAGCTGGGGTCCCTCCCCGGTGCCTCAGCCCCACCCCACGGGCCCCACTCACACACACGTAGAGGGGGTGGAGACGGGGCTGCCCCCAGTGACGGCCCCCGTTCCTGCAGGCAGCTCCGCTCTGCGCACGGGGCCTCTGCCCAGCCAGCTCACCCCCGGCCCCGTGTGGGGTCTCCCGCTCTGGATCGATCCCCCCAAGTCTTCCCACTACAGCGAGGGGAGACGCAGGCCCTGGGAAGAGGTGGGCCTGTGGTCCTCCTGTGCTGTCCCCGGCTGCTGTGTCTGTGCCGGGAGCTCTCTCTCCTGCTGTACCGTTAGCTGCTGCCTGAAGGGAGGAAACGAGGTCTTTTGCCCAGATTGGAGGGTGCTGAGCTGCTGCAGGAAATTTCACCCACGCACAGTGCCAGGGTCCCTTTACAGGCCCTCGCCTTCCCTGCCGGTTGTGGGGGACTGTGCCAGACGGTGGCATCCACGCACAGCCCTGCAGGGCGAGGGGCCACCTTCTCCCCGTGTAGACAGAGTTGGGGGCCCCTGGCGAAGCTCTCAGGCCGGCACCTCCCCACAGGGGTCTCTCATCCTTCCCTGGTGCCCAGTGTGGGAACTGTGTTAGAAAGTTAAGCCCCCTACTCCCAGAAGGGGAGGGGGGGCTGTGCTGGGCAGTGCAGAGCCAGGCCCCGTGGTTGGAGGGACCTGAGCGCTCACAGCATCTCCCCACCCAGCGCCTGCCTTTCACTGCTGGTCACAGACCCCAGAGGCCTCACTCAGAGGGGAAGGTGGCGATGGGAGCAGCGTCCTTCCCTGTCTGCTGCCCCTGGGCTCCTGGGGCTCCGGGCTGCCTGGGCAGTAGAGGAGGCCTGGCTTCAGGTCCCAGCAGGTTCCTCCTGGACCCGGGTGGTTCCCCTGGTCCATCCTCTCCAGCCGGCCCCAGATACCTCAGAGTCTGTGGAGGTGCCCACTCCTCATCTGACCCCTGACCTGGGGGATGCCCCCCAAACGTGTCCCCCACTCCCATCAGCACGCTGCACCCTAGTCTCTGTGACTGCCCTTGGAGGTGACTGGGGCTGTGTGTGTGTGGCCCTCCTTTGTGTGGTGTGTGCACGTCCCTGCCCACCTGTCTGTCCCCTGCTGCTGTGTCCAAGGCATGACATCCTATCTGTGTGTCCCTAACCTTGGACCTGTGTGTGTGGGCCGAGCGGGGAGGGCTGTCCGGGGTGTCTGCTCCAGGCCCGTGGGTGGGTGGTCGGGGGTGGTGGGGAGACCAGCTCTGCCCCTGTGTCCAGTCCTGGGGGCTCTGCTGTGCCCATGGCATGAGCTGACCCGACTGCCCAGGCCTCCTGCTTAGTCTTGACCCGTGAGGGGCGGCCTTGGAGGAGGGGAGAGAACTCACAGGATTGCCCTCCCCACCAGCGTTTCTGGAGCACTGCCTGCCCGGGCCTGGCTCTGCTGGGCTGCACAGGGAACACCGCAGGCTGTGGGTGCACCTGCTGGTGGTGGGGATGGCCCTGACGGGAGCAGGCTGGGTGGAGGGAGGGGCCCTCCCACTGCTGGCGCCAGGGGACGTGGCTGGCCAGAGGAGTGTGGAGGGACAGAGCAAAGCCAGAGACTAGTGGGCCAAGAGTCAGGGCCATGGTACAGCGGAGTCAGCGGTCCTGCCCTGGAGCAGTGGGAAGCCATCGAGTGTTTGGGCAGGAGGATGACGATGAGTCGTGTGAAGGGAGGGTGGTGGTCGTCTGGGGGACGTGGGCTCCGGCCTGGCCTGGAGGAGGAGGGGGAGAAGGACGGTGGGCTGCGAGCAGAGCTCCTGGGAGGAGACGCAGGAAGGAGGAGAAGGTCCCAGAGGAGACCGCGGGGGCTCCATGGACGGCCTGGACACCACTGCCGCCCCTCTGCTGTGCACGCTGGTCCCTGCCCACTTCTAGGGCCGAGGTCCTCAGGACAGGTGCAGCCCAGAGGATGCAGCCGGTGCCCCAGGGCCCTGGAGGTGGAGACACGAGCCCCAGGGAGAGCCGGGTCCACCATTGCCATGGAACCCTCCCCTTTCTGCCTGTGACAGGCCACACCCTATGTCCCCCAGGGATTGACACTGCACCCCTGTGTGAAGCTGGGGTGAGGCGTCCCCGGGCTCGGGCGGGCGGGGGCTCACTCACCTCTCCCCTTGCCACAGACTGATCCCGCCACTCAACCAGCTGGAGCTTCTGCGGAACCTCAAGAGTAAATCTGGACTCACCTTCAGGTCAGCGAGGGGCTCCCGGGCTGGGACTCTGGGGGCAGTCTCCGTCCACCTGAGGGGTCCTTGCTGCCCACGAGAACTCGGTCAGGGGCGGGTAGCTACAGGACGCTCCTGGCACGGGCATGGTGGTATTGGTGGTCTAGGCTCCCATCCTCAGAGGGCGGCTGGCTCGAGGGAGGGCACAGAGAGTGGGGCTTGACGTGGGGCCAGGGGGCTCTGGTCATGGCTGGCGCTCCGGCCCCAGGCGGGAGGAGGAGTCCAACCGAGCATGTCCCGGAGCATGGGGTGCACACACACGCTGTGGTGGCTGCTCGTTCTCCTGTGATCACAAATCTGCAGCTCTCGGGGTGTGTGGGCACAGTCGGGTGTGTGGAGAAGGGCTTGCCTGGCAGGAGAGTGGAAAGGAGGGTGCCCTGGGGCTCCCTAGGCTGAGGGCTGCCCCCAAGCAGTTTGCTGGCTCTGAGGAGCTCTCAGCAGGGCAGAGGGGCTACAGTGGGGTGAATGGTGGCCCCACCCCCAAAGAGCCTGTGCGTTCGGCCTTATTTGGAAAAAGTCTTTGCAGATGTGATTAAGTGAAGGGCCTCAACACGGGATCCTTTTGGGTTGGCGTGGGCCCTCAATTCAATCACAAGTGTCCTTAAAGAGGCAGTGGAGATGGCCGTGTGCAGATGAGGCAGAGACTGGAGTGAGGTGGCACAAGCCCAGGACGCTGGGGCCCTCAGGAGTGACGAGAACGGATCGTGTCCTGGAGTCTCAGGGGGAGCACGGCCCTGCGACACCTGGAGTCTGGACTCTGGCCTCCAGAGCTGGGAGAGAGGACATTTCTGTCGTTACAGCCCCAGTTAGTGGTGCTTGTTAGGGCGGCTGGGAAACTACCGTGGATTCTGATCCTGGGAAGTGGGGCTCTGCTGTGGCAGATCCGAGAAGTGGACGTGGCTCTGGAGTCACTCTTCTTTGGGAGGGTTTTGAAGAGCGTGATAGAAAAGGCCTCGACTGCTTGGGAGAAACACTTGCTGGAAACACGGACGTTAAAGGCGATGTGGTGAGAGCTGGGAGGAGGGAGCAGCCTGTCGTGATACAGATCTTGGCGTGAACAGTGTGTGGCCAGAAATGTGGATGTCGAAGGCGCTCCTGGTGCGGTTGGATGGAGACACGGAAAGTGCCACTGGAATCTGGGGAGGAAGCACGTGATTGTTGTCATAAAGTGGCAGCACACGCTGAATCGTGCTCTCGGCTGGGCGGGAAGCAGAGCTCATCTGTGATGAACTTGGATGTAGCCCGGGGATTTCCAAGCAGAGTGCGAAAGCTGCGGCCTGGTTTCTCCTTGCCGCTTACAGAAAAATGTGGGAGGAAAGGTGACTTGAAGGACCTGCTGAGCAAAGAGAAACCTGTGCTTTAAGACTTGGGGGCGGTTCTCGGCCTGTCCCGTTGCAGAGGACAATAAGTCAGGGGATCCACCGTGGGGTAAGCACGTTCTGGAGAGGGGGCCAGGGGCGTGGCTGGACAGCTTTTGTGGGAGAGATTTCGTGTGCGACCAGTGGGCCCAACCTACCATCTTGGCAGAAGCAGGACTGGAGACGGGTCATCAGCAGAGAAGTGTGAGAACTGTCCATCCCTGCGACCTGCACGGGAGGCCCACGAGGTCCTAGGAGTTTTATACCAGCAGAAACCCTGCCAGCCCAGCCTGAGGGGACAGAGAAGGAGGGGATGAAGGGAGGGTGCTGGGCCTCTGGGACTCTGCAGCAGGATGCAGGCTGACAGAGCCGCTGAAGTGTGGACGGGTGCAGCCTGTCAAGGAGAGGGAAGACTGACCGGGACCAGAGGGGCGGGCACGCAGGCCTAGGGGGCCGGGGGCCGCAGGACATGCTTACGGGCTTGGGGCGGAGTGGCATTTGCCCTCTTGGATTTCAGACTTGGTGCCTGGCAACCTTTGGTTTCCTCCAGTATCTCCCTTTTGATGGGAGTGTCTATCCTGCTGTTGTATTTTTGGAGCAGATCACCTGTTCTCTAGATTCGCAGGTCCCTCCCTGCAGAGGACCTGCACCCAGGATGGCTCGCACCCAGCGTCCCAGTCACTCTGACAGGTGACTGAGGTGATGAGATTTGGGACATGGAGTTGATGCTGTAATGGGCTGAGACTTTGGGGGATGTTGAGATGGGGTGAATGTATTCTGAATGTAACGTGAATTTGGGGGGGCTGGAGGCAGACTGTACTGGGTTGAATGGTGGCCCCCAAAAGATATGTCTATGCCCTGAAACCATGACTGTGACCTTATTTGGAAAAAGGGGGTTTGCAGATGTAGTTAAGGATCTCGAGATGAGATCATCCTGGATTGTCTGGCTGGCCCCTAGATCCAATGACAAGCATCCTGAGAAGACAGACACAGAAGAGAAGCTGTGTGACAATGAAGGCAGAGATGGGAGTGAGGCGGCCACTCAGGAGCTCCTGGGGCCACCAGAAGCTGGAAGAGGCAGGAGGATCCTCCCCTGGGGCATCTGGAGGGAGCACGGCCCTGCCGACACCTGGATTTCTGACTTCCAGCCTCCAGAACTGTGAGAGAATAAATTTCTGTTGTTTTAAGCCACCAGGTTTGTGGCCCTTTGTTATGGCCGCAGCAGGAGACTAACGTGAGGTGAGCCAGGGGGCCCTGGGCCGGCTGAGTGTGCCCCCGGGCAGGGCGTCAAGCACGCTCTGGTGTCTGAGCTCCGGGCGGGGCGCCCACCAAAGCCTCTGCATGCGTGTCCCCGGACTGGACCTGCTTTGGGGCTGACGTTAATCCCGAGGGTGTAAAGGGGACCAATGAGGCTCGGGGGTCGGTCCTCAGGGACCCCAGCCCCAAGCAGGACGTCTGGCCGCCCTCTTGCCTCTGCTGTCACACTCTGCTCTGCCAGCGTCATGGTGACACAGAACCGGTTATGCAAAGATTGTGGATGAGCAGGGAAGAGCCCGCGTGGTCACACAACAGACGGACGTGGACGCCAGCTGTCCAGAAGTGTCTGCAGGGGGTCACCAGCCATCGTCCCTGGATCTGCCAAGGAGAGTCCAAGCCACCAACCTTTATTCACTTTATGATGAATATTACCAGTTGTCGACCCAACAGAACAGACGATGGCCAGGGTCGCCGTGCATGTGAAGACCTGGGAAAACCAGCCTCATGGAACTGAACACACTCCGTGGGTGGCGTCCGTGGCCGGTTCAGCCCTCCGTTGGAAAATCACAGGGAGAGAGTAGTTCTGTTGAGTCCAAGTGGGAGAGGATGCACGCAGTGTCTGTGCCACACGCTGACTGTAGAAGTTGAGGCCTCTGGAGCTTCTTTGGGCCCTCACTTCCTTCCTGTTAATACTGGTGATTCTGATTAAAACAAGCGTCCATAAACACGGAGCAAGGATGACCCTAGGGTCAGAACTTCCTGTGGCCCCTGCCAAATTCCCTTTTTGCTGCAGGACCTGTCTCCTCGCTCTCTGGGGGCTCTTGGGGGTGGGGGGCTGTTTCTGTGCCCCCTCACTTGCAGCCCCCGGCCCCTGGGAGCACGGGCACGGGCTGGGACCCCAGTGGGGTGGAGTGGGCGGTGGGCCCCACGTGGGGTCTGCCCTGCAGGCTGGCTGCTAACAGTCTTGTCGCTTCTGTTTGAAGGAAGGAGCCCCAGCCGGAGCCATCTCCAAGGTCAGTGCCGGCCTGCCTCCTGCTGCCCCGGGCGTGTGGCCCTGTGCACGACGCCTGTCCCGTCCCGTCCCCTGTGTCTGCGCACCACATGTCATCAGGGGAGCCGAGGGCTGCTGCGGGGCCCTGTGTGTGCTCCCATGTCTGGACCCCTGCCTGGTGGTGACGTGGGCCCTTAAATCACTTCCTGCACTCACCACCCTCCTCTGGGAGCTCGGGCCTGCCTTGCAGCTGAGGGAAGCTCCCTCAGTCCATGAGTGCAGCCCCGCCGGCGCCCCGGAGGAGGGGCATTTCTATGAGCACTCCGGCCCACGTGGCTCTGGGCAGACAGCCGAATTTGCAGCTGTTCTGAGTGAAAACTCCCCAGGGTCCTCCCCGCCCCCACCACCCCGGTTTGGGCCAGTTGGTGGGAGGAGGGGTTGCTCTGAGGAGGGGTCGCTCTGAGGAGGGGTCTTCCCACAGCACCCCTGGCCTGTCTTGGTTTGTTGGAGGTCTTTGGAGGGAGTGAGAGAAGTTCCCCTTTGGGGCAGGGTCTTCTGTCCTCGGGGAGAGGGGCCGGGATACCCTCCCACCCCGCCTCCCACCCACTCCGTGCAGACAGATCTTGTTTGCCCTGCCCTGCAGGACCCTGCAGCCTGTTTGCCTCAGGCAGGTGAGAGACCTGGACCCCGTGTAGGGACGCCCCTGAGTGATCAGGCAGGTTAGAGATTGGACCCCGTGTAGGGCCCCCTTCCAGCCATCAGGGGTGCTGGGTACAGTGTCCCCATATAGGGACTCCCAGGGGCAATCATGCTGGTTAGAGACCTGTACCCCAGACTCTTGTGGGAGATCAGGTGGGTTGGAGGCAGGGACCCAGTGTAAAAACTCCCTTGAGTGATCAGGCAGGAAGGGACCGAGACCCCATGTAGGGACCCCTGAGGGCAATCAGGCTGGTTGGAGACCTGGTCCTGGTGAGGGACTCCCGCGGGCAATCTCTGCTGGGCAGAGAAGGGTGGGGGCAGTCGAGCATATTCCTAGAATTGACGAGAGGCTAAGAGGACTCACATCAGGCAGGTGGTTTGGCAACAAGATGGGACTGAGCGGAGCGCCCACCGGCTGTCGTCCGCATGGCCCTGCAAGAGGGGCGCCCAAAGGGGTGCTCCCGTTTCATCCGTCCAGTCGGTGTTCCCTGAGCCCCGGGAGGCGGGCCGCGGCTCTGCCCCAGGGTGTGCCTGTGGACGAGGTGGCCTGCCTGACCCTCGATGCTGCCCCCCGCCCATCCGAGGCCCCCCACCTGGCCTGATGCGCTTCTCGTGCTCGCGCTTTACAGTCGCTCCCAACCGTTGTTTTCGTCTCAGCCTCTCTCTCTCTCTCTCTCCTCTCCTGCCCCCCCGCCCCCATCTGGAAAATCTTGCCTGCCCCCCACGTGCCTTTAATCATGTCACTGCCCTTCTTGGGCACTTTCACGTCCGCTCTGTCTTTGGGGATGAGGTGGCTGACCCTGAAAGCAGGATTTAAGGTGAGGACACACGGGCGCCCTCCCTCGGGCTCTCCGGAATGTTCCGTGGCTCCCCTCTCCCTGCGTCCCGCACACCGCTCCTCCGTCTCCTCCCCCTGTGTCCGTGTGTCCCCGCCTGCCTGTGACCCAGCGGCTTCCCCAAGGGCCACCCTGGCCCAGCCTGCTCCTGAGAGTCCCCAGGTGAGGGTGTTGGCTTCCCAGGGGACTCAGTGGCGTGTGGCAGCCAGATGGGGGCCTCATCCATAGGGAAGAGCTACCAGGGGCCTTTGCACGGACAGTTGGCTCCTCTCGGGTTTGAGGGCTTCGGGAAGGGGCTGGGCGCTGTGAGAGTGAGGAGCAGTTTCTGTCAGTGAAGACCACCCGCCCTGTTCCCTGGGAACAGAGGGCCTGCCTCTCCTGGGATGCACGCCCCTCAGCCAGGTGACGGAGGGCGGCATTCCTGTCCCCTGACCCGGGGCAGCCACAGACCCCCTTTTAGCACCCAGTGCATAGTAGGTGTGCAAGAAATTGTTCTGCCACTTGTCCCCACAAGGGGGCGGGGCTGTCCCTGGGCTGCCCGGCGAGGGGACCCTCTTCTGTGAGGTGCGAATGGGAGCGTGGCCCCCCATGGTGGGAGTAGAGGCCGTGCCCCTGCTCGCCACCTGCATGCCAGGATCCCGCTGGCACCAACCAGTCTGGGCATAGGGATGGGGTGGACACAGGGCCCTCACTCAGCTGCTGTGAGGCCCCCTCCTGGTCCTGGCTCACAGTGGGCATGCCCCCAGGCTGTGTTGGGGTCCTCGGCTCCCGGGGGGACCCACTGTGGCTGTGCTGGCGTCAGACCAAGGCTGGCGGGGGCGGGGGCGGGGTCTGGGGCTGTGCTGCTCCAAGTGTGTCTCAACTTGCCCTTTGTCCCCTCCCATTCCTCACTGTCCCCACCCCCCGTGCCTGGAGGAGACCCCTGCCCCTGGCCGCTTTGTGCTCTTGTCCCCTGGGCCCCTCGTTGCAGGTGGCAGCGTGCCATGTCGGGTCCCTGTCTGTCCGTCTGTCTTGGTGAGTGTCTGGGCGCCTCTTCCGCCCTCATGAGCCACAGGCACCCTGGGCTCGCGGCCCACTCCGCCCGGGCCTCGCTGCCTGCTGGCCGTTCTCAGACCCGGAGAAGCCCCACGTGGCTGACCTGAGCAGGAAAACCCTGGTGCCAGCCTGGAGCCCAGGGAGAGTGGGCCTGAGTCGGGGTCCTCGCTGCCCCCAGGGTGGTGGGGAAGTGCTCAGGCAGGGCCGTGGCCGCCCGCAGCCCACCTCCCCCCAGCTCCTGTCGGGCTCTGACTGTGATGTCTCCTACAGGAGCCACTGGCCACGTGTGGCTGTTTAAATTTTCAGTAAAATTTAATACAATTGGAGAGCCGTTCCTCAGTCTCGCGTGCTCAGGAGCCAGGCGTGGGGTGGTTGCCGTATCAGTGTGGCCAGGAACACGGGTGGTGGGGCCCGGGGACAAGCTTCCAGGGCAGGTGGCTGTGCTGGGAGTGTTGAAGGCAGCAGAGCTGGTTTGGGGATTGCGCGAAGCCGGTATCCTTCTAAGGTATTGGAGGCAGAGACTATCCCTCCGTCATCCTCTTTCCCGGGGGCGGAGCCTCCAGGTGGGGGCCCTGTGTGCAGGCCTGGGGACCCCTGGGAGGAGCCAGTGGAGGGGCTCCTGGTCTCTAGCTGTCCAGCAGGCTCTGCTGGAATTGTGGCTGACTCGAGGGTGTGCCCTGGGAGAGAACGTTTGTCTCAAATTTAAGGGACCTCTGTGAGTAGTCAGAGCTGTCCGGTGGGGGGTCCGGGTCCTGGGGATACTGAGTCACAGGGAGGTTTGCCTCCACATGAGAGCCTTGCCGTACAGCGGGACCCCAGCTCCCTCCTGCCCTCCCGGAAACCAAACACAAATACAGGCTAGTTTACCTGAGGCCTAAGAGGAACAATTAACTGAAATGTCAGGCTTGTGGCAAGGAAAGAGGTTTATTATCGAAAGGCAGCCAGACATGAGGAGATGAGAGTTAGCACTCAGATCCACCTTCATGAAGGGAAAAAGGTAGGGGTATTTATTTGGGGTTTTAGGTAGGGAGGGGCAGCGTGTGCTGGGGTTTTAGGTAGGGGAGGGGGAGCGTGTGTTGGGGTTTTAGGTAGGGG